AAAATTCAATTTATATATATATATATACATATATATATATGTATATATATATATATATATTTATATTTATATAAAAAGACTAATAATAGCGGTATGTAATGCATCGATAGCAGCAACAGCTTTTCCAGGTTCTGCAGTCATTTGAACAAAATTATAGACATTCAGCACATTCCATTAAAAAAAACAAAACAAAACAAAACAAAAAGAAACAAAGAAAAGAATAATATCCAGAAAACAGCAAAGTTCTGTTGCTGTTGTGGTACCTGGCACCATTTTTTTTTATTAGCATTTTAATCATCATCTGGAAGGAGAACATTCTGTCTGTTGCTGTTGTGGTACCTGGCACCATTTTTTTTTATTAGCATTTTAATCATCATCTGGAAGGAGAACATTCTAGAGTAATATCATTAAATGTAGCTCTGATAAAGCACGGAAGGACCCAAGTTTGATCCCTGGTACTTAAAAAAAAAAAAAAAAAAAAAAAGCAATCTGGAAATGTGGAGATTTAAAATTTTATTTGAAGGCTTTGGACCATATTTTTCATAAAAGCTAGTTGCTCTAGAATTTATGTGATTGGAGTGTACAGTAAACGGTGAGAGAAAGGAAGCATATAGGAGATGAGAAGATTGAAAAGATGTTAAGGCCAGATCATAAAGCACTTCGTGGGACATGAATCCTTCATTCATGGGAAGTTTACATATGCACAAAATCTCCCAGTGAGAAAAGTGAAAGAGAATATTGTTACTGAACAAGGCCTGTTTCACCTTGTTGTGTAGTATGCCAATTACAACAACAAGATTTGCAAAAGAGAAAGTGTTTATTCATGAGGTGGCCATATGTGGAGACAGAGTAGCAAATCTCAAATCCACTTCCCTGAAGATAAGGATTGGAGGTACTTACGTGTTAAAGAGTGGGAAAACATGAATGGAGGTTAAGGAATATTTGGTGGCTGGCATATATGTAGTTAAACTTCAACTTACTGCCATGACTCACATGTTAGAGATGTTATCCATACTTCTAAAATGTGTGATTTTAACTAAATTCAGTAGCACAACAGAATACATGGTCAACACTCAAAAATCAATACCATGCCTGTATACCATTAATACACTCACTGAGAAAGAAATTACGGAAATAATACCTTTCATAATAGTGTCAACAAAAATCAAATACTTAGAAATTAACCTAACTAAGGAAGTGAAAAACATCTGCAACAAAAACTACAGTACTCAGCGAAAAGAGGAAATCAGAAAATGGAAAGATACTCCCAGAACCAATATTGTCAATATGGCCAAACTTCCAGAACTGTTATACAGATTTAATGCAATGCCAATCAAAATACCAACAGAACTCCTTTCAGAACTAGAGGAAACAATCCTAAAATTCATATGGAACCAGAAGAGACCTAGCTAGCAAAAGCAATTCTTCAATAAGGGCAAGGCAGGAGTCATCACAATTCCAGACTTCAATTTATATTGCAAAGCTATAGTGATAAAACAGTTTGGTGTTGGCCAAAAATAGACTTGTGGATCAGTGGAACAGAACAGAGGGTTCAGAAACAACCCCAGGCACACTAAGGGTGCTACAAACTTTCACTGGAGGAAGGATAGCCTCTTTGACAAACAATGCTGGGAAAATTGGCTAACCACATGCCGAAGATTGAACCTAGACCTACAGCTGTCACAATGCACTAAACTAAAATCAAAATGGATCAAAGATCTAAATATTAAAACAATACTGCTGGAAGACAAACTAGTAAACCTTTGTTTTTGTTTGTTTGTTTTGTTTTGTTTTTTTGAGAGAGGGTCTCACTATGTAGTTCAGATTGGCCTTGAACTCACTTTGTAGTACAGGCTGCACTCAAACTCAGCAATCCTCCTGCCTTAGCCTCCTGAGTGCTGGGATTACAGGCATGTGCCACCATACCCAGTCCAAAATAGGTAAAACTCTTGAAGACAGACATAAGCAAGGACTTTCTGAACAGAATTCCAGTTGCACAAGAAATAATGCCAGAAATGAACACATGGGATCATATCAAATTAAAAGATTCTGCACAGCAATGAAACAACAAATGGAGTGAAGAGACAACTTACAGAGTGGGGAAAATTTTTGCCAACTTCTCCTCAAAGGACTAATATCTAAAGTATATAAAGAACTCCAAAAATTAGACCCTCCAAATTAAAAAAATCCAATAAAAAATGGTCATCTGAAATGAATAGACACATCTCAGATGAAGAAGTAAAATTGCCCAGTAAATATATGTTAAGTGTTCAACATCTCTGGCTGTTTGAGAAATACAAATTAAAACAGCACTGAGATTCCATCTGACTCCAGAAAGAATGGCTATCGTCAATAAATCAAATCATAACAAATGCTGGAGAGACTGCAGGGAAAAAGGAATCTTTCTTCATTGTTGGTATGAGTGTAAATTGGTAATCCACTGTGGAAATAAATCAGTATGGAGATCCTTAAAAAATCTAAAAATACAGATTTCATTCAACCCAGCTATTTCCCTTCTAGACATCTTTTGGAAAGAGTTAAAGACATTTTATCACAGTGATGTCAGCATACCCGTGTTTATAGCAGCAGAGTTTATACTAGTTAAGTCTTGGAAGCAGCCCATATGTCCACAAACAGATGAGTGGATAAAGAAAATGTGATATTTATACACAATGGAGAACTACTCTGCCATGAAGAAGGGTAAACTGGAGCCATTCATAGGAAAATGGAAGCATCATGAGAACATGTTAAATGAAGCAAATCAGACATGTCAGCTTAGATATTACCTGGTTTCTCTTATATGAGAGACCTAAAATATAAATAAGTGCAAGATAAAAAATAGACAATAGTAAAAAGAAAAATTTTTTTGCAACATTCATTGAGCATCAGCTTAAAAGAATAATTCAGGAGCATCTAGTCATTTTAGAAAGCACATATCCTTCACATAATTCTTCTTAGTTCTGCATAAAGAAGTGATATGCAGAGCTATCCATTGTGCCAATTTGCATAAGAGAAAAGAAAAACGGTAACATTTTTAGTAAAAGAATGAGCAAATGAAGTGGGTTAGTGAGAGTGGTTTATCTACACAAAATTAATCAAAATAAAATATTTAGTATTTCTTTTTTTTGAGGGGGAGTTTTGAGACAGGGTCTCACTATGTAGTTGAGACTGTCCTGGAACTCACTGTGTAGCCCTGGCTGGTCTCAAACTCACAGCGATCCTCCTCCCTCAGCCTCCCGAGTCCTGGGATTACAGGCGTGCGCCACCACGACCAGCTAGTATTTCTAAAGTTTAAAAAGTCAACTAATGGGCCGGGGATTTAGCTCAGTAGTTCTGCCGCCTGCCTCGCAAGCACAAGGTCTCAAGTTGGATCCCCGGTACCAAACAAACAAACAAACAAACAAAAAACCCACAAAAAAGTCAACTAAAAGCAGGAGAAGCAGTTTAAGTCTAGGAAGCAAATAACTAAGAGCAGGTGAAATGGGTTAAG